ATACGTAATCTGAATTTTCGTAGAATCTCTCCACACGCCTATATATATATATACAACCAACGCGATGCGCCTATAAACAGTATCTATTATTGGGTTGCTATAAACTTCGGAAGCTATAACTGTGATTGCTACTACACTTATTAATCGAGAAACTTCTGATATTTGACCAGGAACATCTATAAATTTCTAACATTACAAATCATTTAATTTCAATAGATTCACATCGGACATTAGTACTTTTACGAATATATTATATAACTTCAGCGGTAAAAGAAACTCGACCTGTAATCGGCGTGTGATCAGCGAGGACTATAGAGCTAGTCAGCTCCCTAATAAGTGAATTGTACCTACGTCAACTCGGAATTAACTCGCACATCGTCATTCCTCGATTAGATATCAAGGAAGCTCCAGACTAGAAAGAAGATTTTACATTGCTTGTATGTTCGTAAAACGTTTGTATATAAATCATTGTTTATAATAACTATTTGTAATAACTGTTATTGTATATTGTATTGTTGTTTATATATTAAAGCATATTTGTATTAAAAAAGAAACTGTGTGTATTAATCTTCTTGGCAAATATTATAAATTGGATACATATTGGCATTTATTTAACTAAGGAATTTAAAGTATCACTTAGCTCGGTTTCAGACCATTCGAAATTATAATACGTAATACAATATTAATCATGGCTACTAAATTTCTTATATACTTTATTAAGTCTTAATATAGACACTTAGTTATTCAACCACTGGATTTTGTTAAGCTACCGAAACATATCCATTTAGACACATATACACATTGGAAATTGAAAACATTTTTGACTAATTTGACGTTTATGGCCAATGACTATTAGATTGCATTAGTCCCCACCTGCGAGGTAGTTTCAAGGCAGGTGATTCAGTGAACGTTATCAATTTACGTGTGTTTCATGGCGGACCTAATGAACGTTGTCAATTTACGTGTGCTTAATGGCGGACCAAATGAACGAAGTGCTTTTGTTAGTACATTTGCTTGTTATATACATATATATATATATTTGCATTCTAATAGTTGAACAAGTAACACATTTACACTTTCTTTTCTCTAGAATTAATATCCACTAAATTAACGATCGTGATTAACTTGAAAATTACTAATTACAGCATGTAATTTGAAAAATCTGTTAAAACAATATGTGAAGATTTTAGTATAAAGACTAAAAGCAACACGTAACATAAAAAAAATGTACACCCAATAAATGTGGAAAATACGTTTGAGATGTTTTTTTGAACTTGACAAAATACAATGTGAGTGTCTAATTTGACATGGAGTATATTGTATCTATTTGTTAACTTGCACATTTTCTCGGGAAAGCACAACGCGTGATGAAACATTATCAACACATTATATATATACAAACACTCACATATTACATTATATTATATATCAGTACATATTTGTGTAAGTGTAATATGTATTTTCTATGTATAATTTTTTTTTCTATGCCACATACAGGTAAAATGTCGTGCGAACTGTTACATTCGTTGAATACGAATGGGAATACGGAATTCGTAGGTAAGGGTAAACAATTTTGTTTCAATGTCTCATAGAAATTTGTGGAGAATACAAATACGAATACAACACCTAAAAAGTAAAACGTAATTCTGTCGTGAAGAGTTGGTGTCACGAGGGGAGAGATAAACCAAATTGTTTGCCGTAGTGGAATATTGTGTCTGTCTCTCAAGTGCATGAATTATGAGTTAGTGAAATATCGTACATAAGTAAAATATGTAGCAGTGGAAATTATGTTCGTGTTAAAGTTTCATTTACTCAACATTTCAGTTGGTTCACAGCGGCAAAATAAGTTCTTAATTTACATTAAAATGAAACAGAAAAGTGATATGCAGAATTTAGTATGTTCCTCAGGAGGCGCTATAAAACATATATTTCAAATATGTATATATGTCACTCCAGTAAATAATTAACCAGATTTCTTTAACATTCTTTTTCTTCTTTTTTTTTTCAATTAATCAGTACAGTGTATATGTAGGTGTAAAATATTTCCACGTTAATTCATTAAATGATCACCAGGAGAACGTCAGGAAAATTTACCAATTAGAAGTAAAATAATTTAAGAAATGGCGACAGAAAGGATCAAAGCATTCTAGAAGTTATTAAACATTTATCTCTACTGTTCTTTTTAACTGTTAAGCACCTCCGCATTATTTTTCTTTCATTTGCCGCTAGATGCGCTTGATGATAAGACATCCTAAGTGATTGTTTGTTTGTTTTTTGAATTTCGCGCAAAGCTACACGAGGGCTATCTGCGCTAGCCGTCCCTAATTTAGCAGTGTAAGACTAGAGGGAAGGCAGCTAGTCATCACTTCCCACCGCCAACTCTTGGGCTACTCTTTCACCAACGAATAGTGGGATTGACCGTCACATTATAACGCCCCCACGGCTGAAAGGGCGAGCATGTTTGGTGTGACGGGGATTCGAACCCGCGACCCGCAGATTGCGAGTCGAGTGCCCTAACCACCTGGCCATGCCGGGCAATGGGCTGACTGTGCTGTGCTCACTGCGAGTATCTAAACCCGATTTTTGGCGTTATAAGCCCCCAGCTTTACCGTTGAGTCACCAGGGGGCAGTAATAAAATAATAATACCTAGATGAAATTTTATATCCTCCATAAAACTCCAAACACTTGCTTAATTTTGACGGGTGAGGGAAACAAGAAAATCATTTCTGGCTTCTGTTTATGCAATCGAAAGATAATTCCAAATATTCTGTGACAGGAAATATTAGTAAAGACAAGAATTACACAGTTAGATAGGAAACCTATGTAGATTTTGTTTTGTCGAAAATGTTTTATTTGTGAACTATACGTGCTTTTAAAAAGTAAAGAGAGTTCCTTGAAAAACTCAACGTAATGTCTCAACCCAAAAAACCACAAATAGGGTTAGCAAGACCTCTTGTTTTATTACTGTTTTATTATTAAGCACGAAGCTACACAAAGGGCTATCTGTGCTCTGCCCACCACGGGTATCGAAACCCGGTTTCTAGCGTTTTAAGTCCGCAGACATACCGCTGTGCCACTGGTGGGCAGCAAGACCTCTTAATACTGTCTCTAGTATTTAACCATTTAATTCAAAATCAATCACAATTACGCGCTGTTTAACAACAGAACAAAATAAACTTACTGGGAAAAACTGTTTTTTGTTTTGTATTTGGTTATTTCTCTAAAGTAAAGTAGTAAGCCATAAAATCAGTATTTATTGTAATCTTTATTCTCATGTATTATAAGTTCGATTTTTCTTTATTCTAAGCAACACCTTTTTTTTAATCATATCTTTATTGACTGTAAATTAAAGAGTGCGTCACATAATTTCGGCTACATATATCTTTGTATCAGGCCTGTGAACCACCCACTGTAAATGTCCAATAATAATAACCAACTAAAAAATTATATTCTACCTCCACTGAAGCTAATCTAAAACTAAACTAAGATATTATTTGATCAAAAACTACAAACTGGATAGCTGTATAGCAAAACTTTTTTAAATATAAATATATATTTTCATATGGAAACTTGTATTTGTTCTGTCTTTTTTCATTTAATACAAGCTTTTATTTTCCTATTACAATTTTTGATACTTTGCATATTTCACTGTTCCAACTGTAGTAAGTTCTCAGTTCCGTGTTTCATCACACAAGTCTAGCTTTCTGAAAACTGTCAGCGCTTTTAGTTTATTTTTCAATGCCCTATTCTTATTCCAGATTTTCCGGTTTTATCCGATACAAATATTAATTTACTATCAACGCTTAAGGTACTGATTTTTGAAATCATGGAATGTTTGCAGAACTCCCATATAAAAACAAAACAAGAAAAACAACAACAGGACAAAATTTACTAAGGTTTGTTAAGGATGGTCAATTAACGAGAATAAATACTTGAATACATTAATGATTTTAAAATCCACATGAACGTAAATGTAATAAAAACTCTTCTGTTCCATGAGATTTACATTACCGAAGTATACCAAGTTTAAAACATGTATTCAGACAGGTTTTTCTTCTCCCACGTCAACTGTCCTCTCAATACCTCAATACAAGCAAACAGTACGCCCGCAGCACACCCGCTTACCCCGGTCGGTGGCTTCCGTTCCTTCTAGCAGCAGTAAACAGTTTGCTGAGCGTACCCAACGTAAAATGATATACCTGAAGAGAGCCTATTAGAGCAGCACAATGGCAAGTACGAGATTATGCCTACCGAACACTGGGAGGTACTTAGCTGGGTCATTGTTTTTGGTAATGGCCTTGGTATATTCACTGCAATAAGGGGAAAGATAGAGATAAATATATAGGTACACTTAAGCATAGCTGGAGGCTAAATGTTCAGGGGCTGACAAGCCTCGTTGTCGGACACGTTAGGATTGCAACCGGCAAACAACATACCAGCTCATCCAAGCCCGGTGCTAGACACCCGAAAAGCCGCCGCAGTCGCCTCTGAAATTGACAAAAACAAATACTAACGACCCCTCAAGCACTTAGGGACTTACGAGTGATTCATATACGGCGATCGTCAAGACTGTTGCCGCCAGACTCGCCACGATGCTACCGACGCATGCGCAGCCGTGGAAAAGTGTTAACAAATGTTGTTCTAGCCAAAAGCGGGCACACACATACATACATACATACATACAGTTAGTTCGGCGCTAACAGAAAGGTAAGCTCCTAAAGCCCGCCAAAACCACTTCAGCTTCTCAGAGTGGGATATACTTAATGCGCGGCTTCAAAGCCACAATCAGCAAACAAGACGAGCCGTGTACAATTTGGCGTGTCAATAGGCTAGTTAGGCTACTTAACGAACACCGAGTTTAGACCTTGAACAAAGAGGAAAGTGAGAGATGTGTAGCTGTACTTACAAAGCCGTGTTTGTCCGAGATGTTGTTGGTGAGTTTCAGCTTATGGAAGGACACCACCTTCTGCATCCACTGTTCCCCAGTGCTGGGCGAGTCTGGGTGGATGTACATCCGCTTGGGCATTTCCGGGTCAGCTTTACCGGCCACCATCCAACGGCTGTTGTGGAACTTGTACCTGCAGTCGTCATCCACTACAATGTCCATCAGCATGATGTACTTTGCCTTCTTGTCCAGACCGGACACTCGGACTTTGAAGGCAGGGAACATCCTCCTGGACACATAAAAAAAAGAAACTTTAATATCGCCATTCGTACATCAATCATTAAGTAAGTTTTGGGCTATTTTTCGGTGTTTAGACAAAAACGGTAATAATTTGTGACTTGTAAATGTTATAAAACATTCCGTATTTGTTAATCTACGGGTCATATTCGTATAGCACAACCGCATAAACAAATCTTTCAAAAAACAAAATGCAATTAACAGTTATATTATTTTACGAAATAATTCACACAAGAAAAAATAACAATTATAGACAAGGCCTGTGAAAGTAGAGAAAAAAATTTGAATAGTGTTTATTGTATATATATATATATATATGTATTTCTTTGCGCCGCACGTAGCCTAATGGTTAAAGTGCTCGGACTCTAAGGCTTCCCGGCTCGCACTTTGGGGCCGTGTGTGTGCTATAAGAGTGACGGTCAAATCCTGCTATTCGGTCAGACAAGTGTAACCGAAACACTGGTGATGGGTACTGTTGACTAGTTGGGATGTCTACCATCTAGCGCAAATAGCCCTTTTTATAGTTTTGCGCGAAAATTCTGACACAAACAAGCAATTTTTTTTCAACAAACAATTATTTTAATTTTCGCTATTCAGGGAGACAATGTCACTTACAGTTGTTCTAATCTCGAAAGTAAAAAAAAAAAAAACAATATTTACACCTATAATTTATATGCGTATAAATAATAATATCAAACTATCTGGGACAGCGAGTGTTTCTTCTCAAGCTGGAAAGAAGCACTTATAACTCTTAATATTGGTGATAAAGTAGATCATTCCAAACTGTTCATTTTAGAGAAAAAAGATTCTGTAAGTAAGTAAAATGCGAAACAAAAAAAAATGGTGTTTTACTTGGGAAGAGAATCTACTTAAAACCTGGATGTGTGTGTGTGTGTGTACAGTACGAGAACGTTTCGGTAAACGTGTTTATTTCGAGTCTAAATGTCACCCTGTTTATCAGTTCTTCAAATAGACTAACCATTTATATTTTAGTAGCGTACACCTCAGATCAGAAAAGTCGTGATATTTCAAGCTTTACAGGGTCTTTTAATCAAAACAATAACACTGCTTATTACGGCCCAACAGAGAATATCTGATCTTCACAGTAAAATCCACTTCAGAATGAAACTACTTTTTTGTTGGTTGTCTTGAAATAAGGTATAACAAATAATACACTCCTAAAATTTTCCACGCTTACAACTTGTTACTCGGCAGCTTTAGATGACTGTGATGTTGTGGCGATTAACAACACACAATCGTACGTCTGCACATTGATGCGAATAATCCATAGATTAACAACACACAATCGTACGTCTGCACATTGATGCGAATAATCCATACCGCATTTAAATCTATGAGGAAATGTCCAGCTTTAAAATTCATATCCTTCCACTTGTGCTCCATTTCGTCGAATTCACAATTGTGCACGAGCTCGTTCACGTGACTTCAACTGCTTGTTCTTATCAGAGCTCTGTCCTGGCACAAGGCTTCCTCTTACATTACTACCCCTCCCCCTCCTCTCAATTTCAAAGGAATAAATGGGAAGACCAGAAGAGTTATTCTGATTACATTCATGATTATTAAAAATAATAATTCCACAGAAGGGAAGGTTGTCTTTATTTTGATGGATTATTTACGTATTTTACATTCAAATATGGATTCCGTTTTGTGTGTGCGCGTGTATTTATAAGCCTAGAACTAAAAATTCTGCGATGCAAGCATGTTTAAAAATAAAAGAGGTGATGCAAGAGTACGCAGAAAATAGTATTTGGAAACGTATTGAGTCTTTAAACAACAAGTGAGAAAAAATACAACAGCTAAATCTGAGTTAGAGGTTAGCATGTAGTTCTTAACCGCAAGCATTAAAACAGGAGGAAAATACTTTTTTTGCTGTTTTACAGAAAATCCTCTCGAATTTCAGTATAAGAAGAAGAAGAAGAAAAATAAACACGTGACACTTTTCATAAAACCGCGTATTCACTTACAATTAACTAAATTAAACCATATTTTTTTAGTAATTAAGTTTTTGGTAGAAGTTGTATTAAACAGCTTGGAGAAGTTGTCGTGATTTACTCAAGCTAAGCTATTTAGAGACAGACGTATGTAACTGCGAATATCTGAATTAAAAGTATTAAAGTTACAGCTTTAAACCACAGAATTATAGTAACCTAACCTACAATCAGGTAAACGGTCTAACGACTTCTAAGTGGAATTGCTTAGATTTAGATATTTCAATATTTTGGTTTATTCGCGTTAAAAGTAAATAAGCATGTAACCTTATAATATAATTCCTGTTTGCTGTGCAAAATTTAAATACTTATACATATGAGAGTATAGGTTCACAGAGAATAGGCATTACTTAAAATATTCACCAGTTTTCTTGAAAAACATTTAATGAACCATGCAAATTTTAAAGAATTGTTTCGTTTTACTAAGGGTACAAAGCTATAAAAGAAAATTATTTTTAGACTTGAAAATCTCCTAGTTGTGTACGTGCTGGCTTTATTACTTATTAAGGAGGAAGTGGGCCATTGTTTGATCTCTCGCAGAGGGTGATTCTCCTTATTTGCTCTCTTCTCCCCTCCACATTGAGCAGTCTTGGTCAGAAACTTGCAAAGAGCGAAGCTAAGATCGTCTGAAATGTCACCACAGTGGCCAGAGTGTTAAATGAATAGTAAACGTCATCATTTGACTGTTGATATCTATTTAAGCTTCATCATTTGACTGTTGATATCTGTTTAAGCTTCATCATTTGACAGTTGATATCTGTTTTAAGCTTCTTCATTTGACTGTTGATATTTGTTTAAACTTCATCATTTGACTGTTGATATTTGTTTAAAATTCATCATTTGACTGTTGATATTTGTTTAAAATTCATCATTGTTGATATCTGTTTAAACTTCACCATTTGACTGCTGACATATGTTTAAACTTCATCATTTGACTGTTGATATCTGTTTAAACTTCATCAGATGATTGTTGATATCTGTTTAAACTTCATCATTTGACTGCTGATATCTGTTTCAACTTTTCATCATATGACTGTTGATATCTGTTTAAACTTCATCATATGACTGTTGATATCTGTTTAAACGTCATCATTTGACTGTTGATATCTGTTTAAACGTCATCATTTGACTGTTGATATCTGTTTAAACGTCATCATTTGACTGTTGATATCTGTTTAAACTTCATCATTTGACTGTTGATATCTGTTTAAACGTCATCATTTGACTGTTGATATCTGTTTACGCTCTCTTTCTGCCTTTAAGACTACCGGCGGAACAAACGAGTGTATTGGAGAACTCTTAACGTCTTTTTCAGAAGTAACTTGGACTTTGAACAGTTGGATTGCTCTATTGCTTCGAAGTCTTTTTTTTCTCATCGTCTTGCTTAGTATCATCTATCGATAGTGTTAAATGGATAATGATAATGTGTGAAAAAATATAGAGAAGCAAAATGTGAAATAGAAATCTATGAATACATGTTAAAGTTCTGGTTTACCGGACCCATTGTATAAGAAATTCACACTTTTAATACAGATCCTATAAGGATATTTTGTGCGATCGTGTGATAATATGTATTAATTTATAAACATTTACTAAAAATTACATAAAGAAGAATGAACATATAATTACAGACTTTGATACCATATTGATTACACCTCGCCCTCCTGTTAACCTTAAGCGAACAATGTCCTATACATACAAACAACGTTCTTTTCATAATCAGTCACACAGTCATATAGAGGTCGTTGTAGTCCTAAATCATATGCGATAACAGTTTATTCCAGATAACCAGTAGGATAGTAAAAAAATAAAAAAAGGAAAGAGTGCCCAGAAATTTACGTTCAAGTTTATGCAGTTAGATTTTAGAATTCCTTATTCCTGCAGCGAAAATCCAAAGTCACAGTTCGACTCGCAATTGTCTCTTGTGACTAAAAATGATAAGCTTTTTTCACGACCTATAGTAGATTAAACATATTAACACGAAATGAAATCGGTTATAAACGGCAGCTGTTTGCAGATACGGGATTTCGCAATCGTTGAATTATTGTTGCTAATACTAATGGAGGCGTCGCATTCTTTGGATTATTGTTGCTGGTGGTAATGGAGGCGTCGCATTCGTTGAATTATTGTTGCTAGTACTAATGGAGGCGTCGCATTCTTTAGATTACTGTTGCTGTTAGTAATGGAGACGTCGCGTTCATTGGATTATTGTTGCTGATGGTGATGGAGGCGTCGCATTCGTTGGATTATTGTTGCTAATGCTAATGGAGGCGTCAAGTTGATATACAGTCTGCAAACTATTTCACCGTAGGATGCTTTCTTCACGTTAACGACACACATACACAGACACAACGTAATTTCAAACAGATTACCAGAACACAAAGTACAGAGTAGGAAATAGTATATACAAATAACAGAGGATGTTACAAAAAAAATTAATTAAGATTACTAGCAGGTGGTTATGAGCTTCTTATAGTTCTGAATGAAATTTGATACAAGTTACAACGCTAACATGCATCAACTCTGACGCTAGGCTACATGTTTATCATGCTTTACACGCGCAATTTGTACACATTCAGATCAGACCGGTAAAAATAAACCTGCCGCAATACTTGCACTTACACGTCACAAAACGAACTCGCCATATGATTATCATTTCAGAGGATGCAATTATCACGCGATCACTCCAATTTAACTTGAAATACTTTTATATTAATTCAAATGTGAATTTATTAAATCGTTTTATAATAGTATAGGGTATGTATATGCACAAATTGTATATTTATTAAAATAATATTATTTTGAGTGTAAACGTGAAAAAGTCATATTTGATAATATTAGTTTCAGTTATTTGTTGTTATTTTCTTGGTGTAAAGCCACACAATGGGCAAACTGTACTCCGTCCACCGCTGGAAATCGAATCACGGATTTTTGCAGTATAAGTCCAGAAATTTACCCCTGATCCATGGGGGAGATGCCTTAG